CCAGAACCCCCGCAGAGATCGGGCAAGGCGTGAGGGGGGGTAGGGTACGGAGACTACACTGAGCAGAGTATCTACCCCCGGTACTTTATGTAACACTTCGATTTAAAGACTGAGGGTGGGTCAATGGCTTTGGAGGATGGAGAGGATGGGGCTTGGAGGAGAGGTATTTCTGCCGACCGACGTAGTCCGGGTTTAGAAGAAACAACCTTGCTAGCATCCCCCTCTCCTCTAACAGCTTCTACTATCAGCCACGGTCTTCGCTGCTGCTACAGCCATAATGAACGCTGGCACATTCCTCAATGTGGTGCTGTAATCTGTGTCCACCCTGCACTTCCCCCTTTGCCACCCCGTTCGAAAAGACACAGATTAAAGCCCCTGCCTTCCCCTCCCCCCGCCCTCTGCAACACACCACCACCTCATCACTTCACTACAAAGAGCTGCTTTGGCAGCACAGCTTTAAATTCAGACCTTTCTTTCCTCCTCCTCCTTTCTTGTCCCATGTTTTACAAAGAAGGACCTTAGTGGATAAAAGAGGCTGAAGGACCTTTTGTTCCACCCCATGACAAGAGCTACCGCTGCAGATCCCCCGTGCTCCTTTCTCCAGTTCAATAACATTACTTGCTCCCTCTGCCTCCGCCAGCTCCCAATGAAAATAAAACTACCCTTACTGACGAGTGAGAGGAGGGTAAGAGAACAGAAAGGAGACTTGAGCTTTACACATTTACACACACACACACACACACACACACACACACACGCAAGCTAGCTAGCTAGCTAGGAATAAAAGACAGGGGGATCCAACCAACCGCCCCATCCATCATCTCCGGCCCTTACCTTGATATTTCGCGTCTATTTCCCTCATCAACGAGACGTTTCTCTGCAGATCGAAAGGCAAAGACTCGATGGAGTCCAAATAATCCTCCACATAGTTCACCAGGTGAATTTGCTCCCCGTTTGCAGGACTCAACATGGTTCACCCGAAAGGTCCTCGGCGACTCTGCACGCTTTCCGCTTCCTCCACCCCCCCCGCCCCCCCTCAAAAAAAATAGCACCGCAAAATGCAAAGCTCTTTTCTCTTACTCCCCAGGCTCCCTCCTCCCCCCCACCGGCTCCGGCTCTCTAGCCCCCGGGAAAGCTACATCTGCCGAGAATGCTCCGCTCGCCCCAGCCTTCAACGAAGCGGAGAGCCAAGCAGACGCCTCCTCCCGACCGCCTGCTCCGCGGCGGCGATCGCTGGTCGCTCCGGTAACTCGCGCCGAGGGGCTGTACAGACCAGCCGAGTCGGCAGGGTAGGAAGAGAAGCCGGGAGGCGGGGAGGAATTAAAACGACCGCACAGGTCCCCCCCTCCCAGACGGCGGGGAGGGGGAGGCGGCGAGCGGGGGGAGCGGAGCGTACGAAGCGCGCACACACACCCAGAGGGGAGGAGAAAGGCAGCCCGAGTAGCAGCCGCAGCCGAGTTCGCCTTCTTTGGGGCCGTGCGTGTGCCTGCCTCTCTCCGGCAGCCAGTGCCGGTCCGGTTCCGAGTCGGTGAGGAGGAGGAGGAGGAGGAGGAAGAAGAGTGGGGGCAAGAGCTCCCCGCTGCTCTATGCGCGGTACTTATCCAACGTGGAAAACCCAAATACCAGTTTCAAACACTTGGGAAACATTCAGCCCCGCCACGCACTACGCATGCGTCCCTCTCCCCCCTCCCTCCTATCTCTTTCCCCTCCCCCTCCCGGGACTCCGGCGGTGGCTCCACCTTCTTTGCCCCCCTCCCGCAAACACGCCCCTCAGCAGTCTAGGGGTGCAATGGCAACGGGGATCACAGAGGGCTCCTGACCCTAGCCAGCGACCACGCCGATGTTTGATTTCGCCTGTCATCTTCCCTGGGTGGCTGAAGGGTGGTAGGGAGACAGCACTTAGGACGCCTGGGGCAAGGGGGGGGCGATGGGGTGAGGTGCAAACTTTGCTAGGAGTTTCGCGCTTCAAGGGAAAGCCTGTTCGACAGCACTGCACACCTGCCAGGGGACATTACAGTGGCTGCCTCTTTCACTGTAAATCCAACTGAAATCAGATAGATGGCAAAGAACCCGCTGCCTCTGAGACTATCGGACTTAAAACCGCTACTTCCACCTACAGCCCCCTCACTCTCCCCCTACCCCTCCCTCGCGACCGGTGTATAAATACGACAAGGAAGCAGCGCTGACAACTGCAATAGCCAATCCACTAGCCGCCTTACCTGCACTGTCCAATCAGAACGAAGAGAAGGCGGGACGAACATTGATAATTCCTCTCTGGCTCTCACTACTAGAAAACCACGTCCTCCCGAGGGCAGAGGTTTAAGGATTGCAAGAGAGGAAGAGGGCGGGTCGAAAGTAGAGCGGAAGTGGTGGCGCATGCGCATTTCTACTTCAGGAATTAAAAAGGGGAGGCCGCTGGCCCGCGCGGGAGGATACCTACCATTCCAAGGCTGGACCACCACTCCCAGCAGCCTCGACAGTTCCTGCGCCTGCGCCGTTAGTCACCGCCCTCCCTTTGTGTCTCTTCCCGGCGTTCAGTTTCGAACGGCTTGGAGACAAAGGGGCTTGCAAGTGAAGCTGTCCCCCACTGTCCAGAACCCCCGCAGAGATCGGGCAAGGCGTGAGAGATTTCTTCCCCTATTCTCCTTAGATTATCCATGTCCTTCCAAGCTCGCCTTTAGACCCTTATCCTCTTTCTCCCATGCCTTGAAATCCGCTTCACCCTGTTGCAAAAACCACCAAAAACAAGGTGGGCAAACACCCGGTCCATCAGAGTCCTGGGAGCCTTTGGCTTTCTGAGTTCTCGCCTCATCTTCTCTCTGCCCCTCTCCCCTCCCCCCACATATCTTCTCTCCCCACCCTAAACTCCCGGATTTAGGTCTTTCCGAGCTCAGGCGCTGAGCAACCCTGTTGCCTAGACAACAGGGCCTGGAGCGCGTCAGGCCCCGCCTCTTCCGGTTGTGGAAGCCCCACCCACTTGGCCTTGACCCCTCCCGCTGCGGCCAGGAACTCCTGCCTTTGTTTCTATTTCTCTCCCACCGCTGCGGTTGGGCATTGGGTTTGGACTCGCCCCCGAGATGAGATTGCGGAAAGAGGCCCCGCGGGGCTGTAGCCTCCCTGCACCTCGGAGGTCTCCTAGGAGTGGTCGCTCCGGCAGCTTCCTTTAGCTTGTGCAGCTGTTACCCTGGTTTGATTCTGGTTTGAATTCTGTCTTGACTTTTTTTATCCTCTTTTATGCGCTAACGTGGAAAGAGATGGCCTGTCGGCCCTCTGGGCGGTTCTTTTACCCTTCTCACCAGATTTTATTTTTTGGAGAGTCCCGTCAAGATCCTGTATCCGTTTAAATTCAACCTCCAGCTCTTGAAAAACCTGTATGTCAGCTCAATGTCAGGGCGATTCTCCATTTTTTCACCCTGTTTTTGGTATGGGCATAGTCGGTGTTGGCTTGTATCTCTCGCTTAATCGTGTTACAGTCGAAGACACACCACTAGTCGTCAAAAAACATTACAGTGTAGTTTAAATGGACACGTTCTGGTGTTGTTTGTGATATTTGATAAAAGAATGTATTTTATAAAATATTATTAACCGCAGTGGTGCTCGTTCCAATGCTTTCTAGGCTGTTTTGTGATGTGAATATCAATACAAGTGAGACTAAATCATAGCTTTTGTATTTCAAATGAATTGTCTGGTTAAGTTATGTTGCTGCAGTGATAAGCGAGAAAGACTATTTACACACTGAATTCGTGAGATTTGAACTTCACTAAACCCACACACATCAAGAGCAAGTTCAGGTTGCTAGATTCTTGGGAGAATGGTTGCTAGTTTCGTTACAGATTCATACTTCTTTCAGACAGTGAAACGCAAACGAGGGAGGTTAAATAGCTCATAAACAAAGATGTATTGGCCACTACCTTGCAGCGTATTGACTACGAGTTGGGCTGCTAACCTAGCAAGGTCAGCAGTTGGAAACCACCAGCCATTGGGGGGAAAATGAGGCTTTCTACTCCTTTAAGAGTTAGTCTTACAGGGGCAATTCTTCCCAGTGCTACGGGGTCACTATGAGTTGGAATCAGCTAGTTGGTTTTTTGAATCTTGTGCAAAAAACAAACAAAAAAACCCAATACTGACACTACGTGGAAACATTATACCTCTTTGCAGAGAGGGGTATCATAAGGTTGAATAAAAGACATACCCTTTTCTCAAAGCTCATACAAGTAATTTAAAAGTACAATGACATGAGACATTCGTTTAATCCTTACATTCAGTGGCTCTTCAATAGTGTTTCTCTGAACACAATTAAGGTTAGAAAGAATGATTTACCCAATCCAGAGATAATCAAGGTGGAGTCTGACCTAGGTTATCTTAAAAAAAAAAATCATTACCTTATCTGAATGATCATTTCCTCTCTCCCATGTTGTTCATGGGTTTCACAGACACATAATTTAAAAATATCGTATTCACTCAACAAGAAATTCTTAATGAGTGCCTGCCCGTTGGCAGAGTGAGTTACTCATTGGGCTGCTAATCGCAAGGTCAGCTGTTGGAAACCACCAGCAGCTCCTAGGAAGAAAGATGAGACTTTAATCCTGTGAAAGTTTACAGGCTCAGAACCCACAGGGGCGGTTCTACGCTGACCTACAGGTTCAATATGAGTTAGAATCAACTCAGTGGTAGTGAGTTGACCCAGGGTCAGCTACTGTTCTAAAAACTTTAGGTATAGTGGTGAATACGGAACTTATGATTTCTAGAAAACATTTAACCCACTACTTGGGCTAAAAATCAGAATGTATTTTATTTACTGACTTACCAAGTTCTTAATTGTATCTGCACTTCACATGTTGTGTGTGCATTCCCTTATTTCCTGAATAATCTTAGAAGGCCAATGGATAAACATGATTGTGATGATGCATTTAAAACATATGACAGAAAAAGTGCCTAATTGTGAAGAGAGATTCAAGGAACTTGGTGTTTTTAGTTTTGCTCTTGGGATGGGTGGCAAAACTAGATGTTTAAACTTCTAAAACTGTATTTCTAGTTTAACTTGAGATGCTTTCAAACCTATAGGAGTAAAAATGAATATATAATACAAAAAAATGTCAAATTTTAAATGCCTTAAATATGTGGTCATATCTACAGTGAGTTTACAGGGTTTTGCTTTGAAAAGACAACGTAACAGAACTACATTTTTGCTGCTTTATTAAAAATAAAACCTAATGACCAAAACTATAGCCAGAGTCAATTCTGATGCATAGTTAATCCTAGAGGGTGTGGGAGATTATAAATCTTTATTATAAGAGCAGATAGTTCAAGCAGATAACTTGGTCCTTCTTCCCAAGTGCAGATGGTGGGTTTGAACCGCAGACTTGTTAGTAGCTCAATAGCTAACCCACAACGCCACTCGGACAACTTTGTGTAGTAGTTTACTCATTACTATCAAGTCGATGCTGACTCAGCCACTCTATAGGACAGTGTAGAATTGTAACTGTAACTCTTTACTGGAGTCAAAAACCCAGTCCTTCTCCTGTGGAGTGGCTGGTAGTTTTGAACTTTATACCTTGGACATTGCAGCGGACCGAATAACCCCTATACCGCAAGGACTAATAAATGGCATCCTTAATATTTTGGAAGCACTGATTTTTATATGGACTCCCTGGGTGGTGCAAATGGTTGAGCACTCAACTACAAACAGAGGTTATCTGTTCAAATCCACCTGGAAGGTACATCAGAGAGTAGACCGTCTTGGAAAACAGCTTCAGAAAGGGCACAGCCTGGAAAACCCTGTGGAGAAATTTGTCATCCTGAGTGGAAACTGGCACGTCGACGACAGATTTTCACACGCTTCCTTAATTTATCTTAGATTTTGGAATGGACACTTTTACTTTACCTTCATATTCTACCTGCAAGAAGGATCATTTTTAGATGCATTCTTGTTTTGGAGATCCCCCAAAGCCTCGAGGAAGTGCAGCATTGCTGCCTGTCTCAATGGCTGAACACTTGAGTACATGGCTAGTTTCCTGAAGACAAAGGCTACCATTGTTGATTTAAAAGTCACAGTTTTCTAAGGCCAATTCAAATATGCCAACTTCCCAGACTTATGTGCAGGAGTCAGTCTTCAGTGTTAGAAAATCTGTTTTCCAACCATCTAGTTCTTTCCTCGCCTTTCTCACACTCTCACCGATGGCAGTCAGGCTTTCTGTGGCTGTTGTTTGTTACCATTTTCATGCCACATCTAATATCTGCATCAAAGTTTTCCCTAGCAGATATTTGCCTGACCAAATTTCCTCCCACCAGCACAACAGGTGGATCCCACGAGAGATGGATTGCACCAGACCTTACTAGCCCTATTCTGAATTTAGTGCTAGGGACAGTGTGGGGAGTTCAACAGAATTTACAATCTAAAGAACTTAGTTGAGAAGGAAAAAACTCACATAGAAGGAAAAGACAATTACAAAATAACATCAGGACAAGTACAGCCCATACAACAAGGAAAGGGCTATCCTAAAATAGAATTTAGAGTCGTCAAGGAGTATATGTAGTTAGTATTGTAGATTGCCATCGAGCCGATTCCAACCCATATAGGGCTGGCTAGAACTGCCCCTGTGGGTTTCTAAGATTGGAACTCTTTTCGGGATATTATGGGAGGAGAAAGCTTTAAGGAGATTAGAAGGCCTTGTCTTTCTCATGGAACAGTTGGTGGTTTTGAACTGCTGACCTTGCGGTTAGCAGCCCAAAGCATAACCATTATGCCACCAGGGGCCTATTAATGTAGGAGTGACTTTATTCTGAGAATCAGGTTTTCTGAATACTTCCATTTACATTAAATAATTTGGAACAATTGCAAAAATAAAATTGGGGAGGGGGAGAGGGTCAGTAAGTACTCTTGGAAAAAAAGAGCCCTGGTGGCGCAGTGGTTAAGCAGGGGTTAGGCTTGTCACTATAAGAACCCACCAGCCACTCTACAGAACGATGTGGCAGTCGTTGGCTTCCTTAAGGATTTCCGCCTTTGAAACCCTGTGGAGCAAGTTATACTCTGTCCTAGAGGGTCACTGAGCCAGATGAATTTGGTGTCATTAAGTGGGCTTAGGTTTTGAACTCTGGGCATATATCTATCTTGGGACTTTGGGATTTACCTTTATATAGTAAAACCCAAATAAAAAAATAAACAAAGCAAACAGAAATTTGTGCTGCTTCGAAGAATGCAAAGGCAAGGGCTTTTTAAAAATACACTTCGCAAGACATTAATTTGCAAGTAACTAAAAATGAATCTCCCTATTTATTCATAACTCTCTCACTGCCGGCAGTCAGTGCTGACTTAGAGCGACCTCCTGAGGGTTTCTAAGGCTGTAACTGTTTACGGGAGTAGAAAGCTCCGTCTTTCCCCGCGGCTTTGAACTGGTTTTGAGCCGATCACGCAGATCGCAGCCCAACGGGTAACCACGGTTTAAACGAAAATTCAAGAGTTCTGTTGCTCTTAAAGAGATAGGATGATAGGTTGGATTTTTAAGTTTAAAACAAAGCGGCAATTTCTATGGATTGGTAGTGGGCGGCATAGGGCCTGTGTGTTGGGGCCGCAAACATATTTTGCTAGGTTTCAAAGGCTCCCGCGGTGAGGCGGCTGAAGTCAGATCGGGGCGACAAGAGCAAAACCTGCCGGGCAGCTGCAACAGAGGGGGAATTGCATTTGGTTTGCACCACATCCAACAGATGCCTGCAACGGACAAGCGGTATTAGGAGAAAACCTCCTTACTTTGGGGACGGAGGCGCGGCTATCGCCACGCCTCCTTGCAACCTCCGGGCAGAAGCTGCCGTGGCTCCAGTCCCGATGTCGCCTCAACCTCCCAGTCGGATCGCACCCTCCCTCCGGGGTAACGAAGACGCGAGCCCAGTCCAGACTGAGATGCCCGGCCGCTTCCCGCAGCCGCTTCCGGGAGTGGGCGGAGTCCGGGCGTCATCCGGGGCGTGGTCTGTGGGGCGGGGTATTACGTCAGCACTCCGGGGCGGAGCCTGTGGCCCCGGCTGCTGCTCGCTCCCTAGATCTTACCTCTGTTGCCTGCACTTAGCCAGGCTGGTCATGCTGCGGTCGCACGGGGCCCGCCTGTCGCCCACCCACCGCTGGCTGCGGGCCGGTCGCCTCTGCCCTCAGCTCTTCCTGGCTGCTCTGGGCCTCAGGCCGGTGGAGTGGGGTCGGCTCCCGGGCCGGTCAGTGTCGGCGGAACGCGGGCAAGGTTGGCTGCAACCTACGGGCCATGCCACGGGCGTGAAGGTCTACAACAGTCTAACCCGGAGGAAAGATCCTTTAATAGTGGCCAACGCAGAAGCCGTTTCCTGGTAGCGTTTTGACACCCTCTTGGGGTTTGGGGCACTTCTTCAGCGGCCTCGGGAGGTGAGGGTGGAGGAAGCGGAGAAGGGAAATCGATGTAAATATATCATTTTCGGGTGGTGTAGACGTGCTGCTGGTGCAAGGGGATTGGGTTCGTAGATGGTCAAGATTTATAAAAGAATTTGAAGGACTACGCTGACCATACCAGAGTGTGTTCAAAGTTAATTTATGGGGAGTGGTTATGAACTTAGGGATTCATGAAAGGAATAGAGCCTGGGTTTGCTTCTCCAACGCCCCCTAGCCCCATGGTGACAAAAAGCGAGATGATTAAATGATCCTGGAAACCAGGAAGGCAGATATTTCACATGGTGGATTTTCACTTTGTTCTCAGGTACAGCTGTGGACCCACTGTGTACGATCACTCCCATCTTGGCCATGCTTGGTGAGTTTCTTGGGTTGGTGTTTTTACCCTTCAGGGGGTTCGTTTACTTTGGAAAGAATGGACCTTTTGCAGGTTTCTTTAGCTCACAAGTGGCAAGTGAAAATGTTGGAATGCCATGTCTCCTTCGGTTTGAAACTAGATGCTTCTTGCTTGATTTGGGGAGACACATGGCGGCCTTTCCAGGAGCGCTGAGGTTCATGTGGCCTGGAGTCATTGTAGGCCCCTTGTAGGTTCGCTTCACAACCTTGGACTCATTGGAGTCCAAGGTTGGGGTTTGTTTTTGTTGGTTTGTCTGTTTTTGGCGAGCAGAGATTATTGTAGCAAACGTACATATAACAAAACACTTGCCACTTCAACAGTTTTTGTATGTGCAGCATGACATTAATTGCGCTCACCTTGTTATCACCACTATCTCATTCCAAATTTGTCTCAACCTTAACAAACAGAAAGTCAGTGCCTCTTAAGCCCCCACCCCCACTCGCCCCCTGACAACCACGAATAAACTTTGGCCTTTGTGTATTTGTATATTCTACATATTGCATGTAAGTAGACATGATCCACGTATGTGAAATACATACTTTATTGCTTTGAAATTTGCTTTTTAAATTTTTGAGATGAGACTGATAATAATATCATCTCTATTATTTTTTTTAGATAATGTCAATAAAATGCTGTTTAATCCAGTACTTGATGATGTGAAGTACAACTGAAAAACAAAACCAAACTCACTGCCATCGAGTCAATTCCAATTCATAGCAACCCACAGTCCAGGGTAGAACTGCCCTTGTGGGTTTCTGAGATTGTAATTCTTTAGGCAGTAGAAAGCCTCATCTTCCTGAGGAACAGGCGGTAGTTTCAAACTGCTGACTTTGTAGTTAGCAGCCCAATGCATAACCACTATGCACTAAGGTGCCTCCTGACTTATTATAAGGGTTCAATAATTATTGGATTACTGTAATCATTAGGGGAGGAAGATGAGGCTTTCTACTCCCATAACGAGTTAGTCTTAGAAACCCACAGTTATATCCTGGCTTGTAAGACTGCTGTGCTGTGAATCAACTTCGCCCTGATGGCAGTGAGTTTGTTGTTTTTCTTCTTCTCCTTGTAGGTGATACAACCAAGATCACAGATTTTGCTTATCTCCGTCTCTTAACTGCCTGTTACTTAAATCAAGTTTACCCCCTCCCAAATACTTTGTGTCCATTTTAGATAGTTTTGTTTGCTATTATTCAGCCTAGGAGCCTTGGCAGTATAGAGGCTATGCATTGGGCTGCTAACTGCAAGGTTAGCACTTTGAAACCACCAGTCACTCCTAGAGAGAAAGCTGGGGCTTTCTACTCCCATAGAGAGTCGTGGAAATTCAAAGGGGCAGTTTTGTCCCACAGATTCACTAAGAGTCAGCATCGACTCGATGGCAGTGAGTTTTGGTATTATTCGACCCAGACTAAAACTGTTCTTTCATTCGTTTATCCATTAGGCTTTCAAAGAAATTATTTTTACCATTCTGCAAGAGCTAAATTTTTTTTAGTTTGTTCGTTGTAACATAAGTGACATAGGGGGCATTTTTTTTCCTCCACTTGGGTGACTGTACCTTCCATTTCAGAAAGCTTGTTTTTAGCCTTTTCATTGATGTATAAAATACAGGAAGGAGTACGGGTTTTATGTCAAGAGGCAAATGAATGTTTGCACAATTTGATTAAGAAGCCGAACATTATCTGCACCCTAGAATCCTCCTTTGGGTCTCATTTTATCACCACCTCTCCCTACCTCCAACTTAACTGTAACCACTATTAAATAAGCATGTTTTCCACGTTGACGATTCACTCTTCCTAAGTTAAAACATTTTCATCAGGAAGAGTCCTTCCATTGAAGAGGTCCCCGAGAGGTAGAAAATAAATACTGTAAGATATTCGGGTTGGCGGGTGGATAAGGAGAGATACTAGGGCCATCTTCCCCAATTAAGTACCCATACCACAAGCCAGCCTCCTGCACAAAAGCACTCATCTTAACTTGCTCCGTGGCTTGGGAAGTTCATCACTCTGCTCTGGCTCCTGCTGCTGCTCCTCTGAATGTGTAGCTCTCCTCTGGGTCCAGGAGATTCACTGGGCCAGAGGATACCCTCCATTCCTGGCTTTTGTTGGCAATGAGATTCCCTCCTGCTTCTCAGAAGGCTCATTTTAGGCACAGCAGGATGGCACTCCAGAGACTTACTTTTCCCAGTTACTCACAGGGAAATCCTATCAGTATCTCCCCCACCTTCTTACCAGGCCCATTCGGGAAAAGGACCTTTGGCGGATATTAGAGACTTTGACCAGAAGAGATACATTCAATAATTCACTGTAACTGCAAAGGGGGATAGAGGGTCCCTGGTAACACAGTGAGTTATGAGTTGGTTTGCTAACTGCAAGGCCAGCAGTTCAAAACCACCATCTATACTGCAGGGAAAAGGTGAGGCTTTCTGTTCCCACAAAGAGTTACAATCTTGGAAACTCACATGTGTGACAGAGTGAAAATTCTTAAAATAGCTCTTCTACCCAAGTCTCTGTAACCCACCAAATGATGGTGTGGGACTGTGCATCAGGGCATTTGTAACACTCATAGAAAAGATTGGTCAGTTGTCATTCCCACTTCCCTGCCTTTGAAGGTTAGCCATCTTTGAAGCAGCAGTTGAGAGAGGAACTCCGGGGATCTTGGAAGAGCGCACCCAAGATCTCTGTCTGAAGTGGCAGAGACCACTGAGACCAGATGCATCAGCAGCTGGCATGGAGACTCAGAGGAGCAGTGTTGAGATTATGGGCTCCTTCTCACCTGCCTGAGACTATGGAACAGAGTGACACATGGACGGGCTTCCCGGCTGAGCACACACACACACACACACACACACACACACACACACAAGAGACTTGGCTGCTGTCTGTGAAGACCAATAACTATATCCTTACTGTTTGGTGGTCCTGACTTGTGGTAACCACTTGACTTCCCTATTGACCCCCTTAATTGTGAGTTTGGTGTGCGAGTTCTGTGTGGTCATTGCAAAACATCGTCAAAGCCAGCACAGATGTAGAGGAAAGCGTGGTGTCAGAATAAAGATTAAGGAGGAAGTGTGGAGGAACATCTGACCCTGGCAATAGGAAACCCCGGGGAGATCCGACCATCCTCCGTTTCCCGTTACTACAACAGGGGCCCATTCTACTATGTCTTATAGGGTCACTCTGGGTCAGGAGTTACTCCCTGGCAGTGAGTGAGTGACTGAATTGAAATCAGCACTAGGCTACACAAAGTCTGCTTTCCAAACTTTGTACCATTTGTACTCTGCTTCTCCTCTGGGTTTCGTAGGCCATGCAGTGACCGCACAGAGCTCACAGACCATGCTTAGACAGGCGGTTGTTACCGAAGCAACCGGCCACAAAGCACACAAAGTCCAGCAGGTTCCCCAGAAGAAGAGAGCACCTCGCTGCCCACTCCAGTCCAGGGCACGTCTCTCAGACCTCGTCCTGGCCACCTTTGGACAGGTTCCTCTTGGCATTGCTGTCTGTCTGTATGGCTCATCAGCAGCAGGGTCCATTGTGAGCCTCTCCTGTCTTCAGGGTTATATCCCTTGTACCCGTGCTGCAGCTCTTCTAGAAAGTTCCATCCTCCTTTCTCCCTACTGCTTCCTACTTCCCTCTTCTTTCCTTTCTTCTGATCTTTTTGTTTCTCCTTTCTGGCAGAAAAACCTCCGTGGCTACTTATAAGCTTGAAGTCAGGGCCCTTCCCATCAGGGCAGAAAGGGACCAGTTTTGGTAAGCCAGAGAGACTTCATTTGCATAGTAGACTGTAGTAACCTCATTTGCATAATCTGTTAACCAATCCCTGCAAGGTGCATACAAATCACATGGCTGACTCCCCAGGACAAGACAAAAAGTATCAAATCCAACCTGCTGTTGTTGTTTTTTTTAAGGCCTTCCCAAAAAAACATATATTCCCTCCTAGTTCAAGAGACCAAAGGCCTTTGGATTCAGGGTGCCAGAGCTAAGGGAAGGCATTTTCTATTAGCTCTCTGGGAAATCCAAGGTTTCAATATACTTAGAGTATATCACCCAACCTGAACCAACGTAACAAACCTTTTCAGGTAGAAAACTCGGCCAAGAATAACTCCTGAGAGTTTGGGGCAAGCATCTCGAACTGTTTGTCGGAAGAATCCACATTGCTACTTCTTTCTGTTGTGGAGCAACTGGTCGGTTGGAAGGAGGGCTCGTGTGGCTAGCAGCCGAGCCATTCACCACGGAGCCGCCAGGGCTTCTAAGGCAGACATTCCCAGAGAGAAACACTTTCGCCAAAGCTTGTAAGGTCAGAGGGGTCCTGGTGGTGGCATGGTCCCATAAGGTGAGCAGTTGGAAACCACCAGCCGCTCCACAGAAGAAAGATGAGGCTTTCTCCTTCCATCAAGACTTGAACTCTCGGAGACCTACGGGGGTGGTTCTCCCCTGTGCCCCAAGGTTGCCCAAGTCGGAGATGACCCAAAGGCAGTGAATGAGAGGCGATGAAAGCTCAGAACTCTTCTGTTCTCTCTGGGGTCCCCACTCACGTAGGGCTGCTTTGAGGTGAAATTGACTAGATGGGAATATCTCATTTTTCAAAAGTGGGCTTGCGTGATCTTTTAACTTTTTCAGATTCACCTCTTACCATTTCCTCCTTCACTAGTCTTAAAGAAGCAGACTTGAATGTTTAACCAACGTACTTATAGCACTCATTATGTGCCAGGCACGATTCGAAATGTGTTACAAATGCCAACCCACTGAACCTTCCTAACACCAGATGGAAAGTGCTGTTAATAGCCCCAAACTAGAGTAGGAAAAACCACCATGCAGAGGTGGTAGGAAGTTTGCCCAGGGTCCCGAAGTGAGTCAGTAATGAATGCGGTCAGCACTCTCCGGAGCCCATGTTCTTGGGTAACCATATTGTGCTCCCCCAACTTTAGCTTCAGCTCTGCCCTATGCAGGGCTTTCTTCCTGCGTTTC